AAAATGGATACACCAAACGTTCGAATCAGAATGCATGACGTAATATCAACTAATTCAACACTCCTTCTCATTCGCAGTTCGAATGTTTATCTACCTACTTAGGTTTTATTGCAACACCTGTTAGTTCACGCAGTTTCTTAAATTGTTCCTTTGGAATACCCTTCGTGAATAAATCAGCTAACATGCTACCTGTTGGACAGTAAAGAACAGTTAATGTTTTCTTTTCTACTTGATCTCGTACAAAATGATATTTGATGTCTATGTGTTTAGATCGTCCATGAAATTGTGGGTTCTTGGACATAGCAATAGCTGACTGATTGTCTTCGTAAATGGTCATTGGTTCATCAATGTTTACATTAAGATCTGTCAACAATTGTCGCATCCACAATGCCTCTTGAGCAGCTGCAGATAAAGCAACGTATTCAGCTTCAGCTGTTGATAATGCTACACAAGTTTGCTTTTTGCTTCGCCAGCTAACAGCAGCACCATTTATTTGAAATGTATAACCAGAAGTCGATTTCCGGTCATTTAAATCACCTGCCCAGTCCGCATCTGAAAATCCAACACAATCTGGATTAGCATTCTCTGAGTAAAGTAGTCCATAGTTCACAGTTCCTTTCAGGTATCGGAAAATTCGTTTTACAGCAGTCCAATGTTCATTCGTAGGATTTGCAGAGAACTTAGCAACATTGTTAACTGCAAATGTTATGTCAGGTCGTGTTGCCGATGATAAATACAACAAACTCCCAACTGCTGACTGATACTCTTCTTTGTTGAACAGTTCACTGTCTTCTATAGCACTAACAAGCTTTGAACTTAAATCAACAGGAGTTTCAACTGGCTTACAATTTTCCATACCATACTTCTTTATGATGCTCGCCGTGTAGGTAGGTTGACCAATCCACACCTTAGCATCCTCTTGAATCACTTGTAGACCAAGAATATATTTGAGCTCACCCATATCTTTTACTTGGAATCTTTCTGCAATGCTTTCTTTGACTTTGGCAATTTTCTCATCAGTTTTACCTGCAAGGATGATATCATCAACGTGAATAGCAACAACAAAAATATCACCGTCCTCTTCTTTCACGTAAATACAGGGATCACTTTCCGTTTGAGTAAAACCGATCGATTTTAAATGCTCATCCAATACAGAATTCCAACATCTGGAAGATTGCTTTAACCCATACAGGCTCTTGTTTAGCTTACAAACCAGATGTTCCTTCCCTTTAACTTCAAAACCTTCAGGCTGTTTCATATACACTTCATCTTCTAATTCTCCATTTAGAAAAGCAGCGGTTACATCCATCTGATGCAACTTTAATCCTCTTTGAACAGATAACGCAATAACAGTCCGTATCTTTTCAAAACGCACTACTGGGGAGAATGTTTCATCGTAATCCACCCCAAATCTTTGCGAAAAACCTTGAGCAACAAGTCTAGCTTTATGTCTTTCAATTGAACCATCAGCATTGTGTTTTACTTTAAATACCCATTTACACCCAACTGCTTTCCGATCTTTCGGCAGTTCTGTGAGTTCCCATACATCATGCTCTTGTAGCGAATCCATTTCTTGCTGCATGGCTTCATGCCACCGTTCTGCATTTGGACCACACAATGCTTCACTTACTGTTGTTGGCTCAACAACATCTTTGCTTGCGATAGTTACCCATTCACCAAAACGGTCAGGTGCACGCCTTTCTCGCACTGGTTGGCGCTCGTTAATTTCTGCATTATCTGCTTGATCATCCTCAACAACTACATCATTGTCATTTGACAGTTCGAGAGTTACATGTTTATCAGCCTGAAATTCATTTCCTGGCAACTCCTTCTCAATGCCAAATTCACTTTCATTGAATTTAACATCCCGACTATATATAACTCTTGAATTCTGAGGATCATATAATTATGGTTGGTTTCAGTTCCATATCCTAGCAGAACACATTTCTTCGCCTTTGAATCAAGCTTCTTTCTCTCATCCTTTGGAATGTGTGCATACACAGTGCATCCAAAACTTCTTAAGTGTTTGACATCAGGTTTCACTCCAGTCCATGCTTCAAATGGAGTCATGTTGGCTACTCCTTTTGTTGGGCTTCGGTTATGCAAATAAACTGCAGTCGAGAGTGCTTCTACCCAAAATTTTTGCGGTAGTTTAGATTGAATAAGCATACCTCGAACTGCTTCAATAAGTGTCCGGTTTAGTCGCTCAGCAACGCCATTCTGCTCTGGGGTTTTCGGGACACTTAACTCGTGCTTAACTCCTTCTGATTTCAAATAGTTCTCAAATTCATTTGAAGTAAATTCACCACCATTATCAGTTCTTAGAGTTTTTAGCTTATGTCCACTTGACTTCTCAGCAACAGCTTTCCACTCCAAGAACCGACTGAACACTTCGCTCTTTTGCTTCAATGGATACACCCAGGCATAGCGAGTTTTGTCATCTGTGAATGTTAGAAAGTATTCAGCACCACCGCATGACTTAGTGTTTATCTTTCCACACACATCACTATGCACTAAGCCTAGTGGTTCACTAGCTCTCTTTGCACCACTATTAGGAAACGAACACCGGTGTAACTTTCCTTGTACACATGCATCACAGAACTCCAAATCTTTCTTTGTATCAAAGTTGAAACCTTCAACTAAATCTTCATTTGCTAATCGCTTTAAACTTTGGATTCCCAAGTGTCCATAACGTTGATGCCATAACATTTCATTTGAGAGTTCAGTTCCTTCATTTGATACAGCATTTGAACATTTTAAGATAGGTTGAAAATCCAAATAGTACAAACATCCAACTTTCTTTGCAATTGCAATAATTTCCCCGTCACTACATGAAATATTGCATTTTGTTTCTTCAAAACTAACAGATTTACCAGCTTCAGTCACTTTCGATACGCTTAGTAGATTATAGCTCAGTTTCGGAACAAAAAGTACATTATGTAGTTTACACTCTTGCTGCTTTCCATTCACAAGATTAGTACATACTGTAACAATGCCACTTCCAACAGCATTCAGAACTTTTCCATCACCAAGCATTACATCAACAGGCTCATTGAATTCAACAAAGTCTTCAAGCAAAGCTTTGTTGTTACACATGTGGCATGTTGCACCAGAGTCAACAATCCATGTTTCACTGTTAGTTCCACATGTATTTGCTGCCAAACTTTGTGCAACAAATCCTAAACTTTCACTACGAGAACCTGACTGCCCCTTTCCAGCTTGTTGTCCCTTGTTTAAAGGTGATTTAGACTCCTTTGCGATTTTGTCTTTGTTCAAATCTTTACAAAAACGTCTTATATGTCCAAACTTTCCACAGTGATGACATTTAATTGATTTCCTATCAGTCCTCGAGGCCGCCATAACTTTACCCGAGGCTTTGGGGGACTTTTCTCGCTCATTCAGCTTTGTTTCTTCATAAAGCAAACGTTCAGTTACAAGTTCCATTTGTGGGACTTCAGAACTCGCTTCGAGGGCAGTTACAAGCATATTATAGGTTTCAGGGAGACTTGCCAGCAAGGTTACAACCTTGTCTTCATCTTCCATTGGCGCACCTATTACAGCCAAGTCATTGAAAACCTCAGTCATCGCTTTTATATGACTTGACATAGAATTTCCTTCTTTCAGCCTCAAATTATTTAAACGTCGTCTTAAAGACAGTTTGTTTGCCCACGATTTCTTCTGAAACTGGTCTGATAATTTCTTCCATACGGCTACAGGGTCTTCAGGATCTCCGAGCAAATATAACAGCGAAGGATGTACCGAAAGCGCGATAATCGCCAGTGCTTTATCTCTACGACTAACAAACTTCGCATATTTTTCAGCTTCTGTCGAAGCAGGAGCAGTTTCAGTTCCAGAAACAATGCTCCACAGCCCGTCTTTCACGAGAGCCATGCGACACTGGACTTTCCAAGTCCCATAGTTCGACCCATTCAACGGTACAACCGTAACAGTTTTCGATTCCGCCATATTTATTTTGTCATGCTTCCATACCAGTTTCATAATACGATTTAACGATTAAATTTATCGCAATATCTCCATTAAAAACTTCGAATACTTCAGCCACTGGGCCCATAACCTATTGGATTTGAATATTTATTCGAACAGTCACATTTTTGTGATAAAATATGAACATTTAATGAGTAAAATATATCGAGATACAACTTGAACAAGAACTGCAACGAACAATTACACGAGGCACTAAAATGGATACACCAAACGTTCGAATCAGAATGCATGACGTAATATCAACTAATTCAACAGTACCTTGCTATTGTAAGGGTAACCCATAATAAGGCATGACTGTTAGTGTGCTTTAATTACTCCACAAGAAATAAGGGGCAAGGGATATTGGTAAACAAGTATTATCAATCAATCCTATTCCCTTTTAATTATAATGGCCACTGGGTCAAAGCACCGTATAATAATTATTATTTACTCTCTAACAGCAGATGATCTTACTCATCAAGGGCAATTTTGTACCTTGATGAGTAATACGCATACAAAATACTAAACTGTTTTATTACATATTTTATCTCTGAACCTTTGTCTTTGACATTGCAACAAAATAGGTTTGGGTGGGGTAAAAAATTTTCTGGCATTCCACCGGTGGGGTAGCTAGAAATTTTGTTTCGAAAAAGGTGGGGTAATGATTTTTTCCGGCTTCATTATACTTTCTCTTCGGCCCCCACCCCTGCCATAAATAATGACCGGTCCCTAATGCACCTATCAATGATAACCCCCAGAGGGGGTCGGGGCGTATGTGGGGTATTTGATCAATTGCTCCCCACCCTGGAGATTTTGAATAGCATTTTGGCCCCGAGTTGGGGCAATTTGAACCAAATGACTTTTATTAACATACTATTTATTGCAAAATGGTGGGGCATTTGACTAATATTTATTGCCCGACAGTGGGACATTTGATTGAAAATTTGCTCTAAAAATCAAATGCCCACCTATGCCTGACCCCCCTCCTCTGGGGCTTAACATTGATAAGTGCAAAATACATATAATTAATTATTGGATTTCACTATGGCATTTTGCACGTTCTGTCATTGGTTCTGACAGGGGGTCAACCTAAAAAATGTATTGATGCTTATGTTGTACTGGAGTGAGCAAATGACATGAAATTGCATGTATTTGCAACGAAACACAAGGCCAACACATACAGTGAAAAATTAATTCCCTCTGATGACTGTGTCCCGATTTAGAGTTGACCACCCATCAAATTTATGATGTCATATGAAACACAATAATATACAGTATAATATTACTGACAGCTAATTGTAGCATAAAGTATTTAATGATTTTAATTTATTGAGTAGCACAATATGCCAAATTGGCAATCCCTTTGTTAATCTTGTCCACACAGTAATTCAAAGAAGCCCTGCCCTCTGTACGAAGTTGTATTAATTGGATTCTGTCCAAGAAAACGTCATAAACTTTTTGATCCAGATATTACAAAGTATGAATTCCAGATTGGGAGACCATATAAATATTTTTAATAAATTCATATACTTTTTTTTAAGAAATGTTCTATTCATATTAAATGATAGTGATCATGCAGCCACCAATACCAGAATTCATTTTCATCAGCTTCCCCCTGGTTATGACCCCCTGTACGGAACCACCTAGGATGCAGGTATAATTTTGTGATGAATGATAAAAAATTGCCCAATATAAATGCCGAGCCATAGAAATATTTTTATTACCATGGTCATGACAACTACCCTGTCAGTTTGATTGCAATATCAAAACTTGTTATTTACACTATAAAACAACACATACCTACTCTGAGAAGGGGATGGGCAACAAAAACTCATATATTTCAGTTTTTTCCCTTCCTATCCAATTCAAATCATGCTGGCCACGAAAACAATTTCCTGATTGCGATACAATAAATTGCCAAATGACTGACAATTCGGGCTAGTGACGCCCCTGAATGCTACAATGATAGCTAGCAACCTTGCTATTATATCTCCAACCTTGAATGTCCTATTTAGTACAGTAGTTAATTAATTAATGGCAGTAATCAACATGAAGTCAAGTACATTTCTGGCCATTGATGAGAAATATTGTCCAAAAGCAGGGATGGATTTACTGGGGGGGGGGGGTGCCCACCCCCCTAGCCCTGGCCAGAGATGTTGCAGGGGAGGTGCTATTTTTCATGATAAAGCAAAAAAGACAAAATGAGATACAGTAATTTGAGTAATAACATGATGATAAGTGAACTGTGAACAATTACAATTCAAATACAGTAGTTGATGGGCGGGCGGCACACATGACCAACACAACTTGGCACCAGAGGCACCCCCCCTACCAGATCATGCTGGATCCATCCCTGTCCAGAAGTACAGTGAAATAACAAAATAGGGTGCACTAAAGAGCATTGTGGCTTAATGATCTAATGAGATAATTAACCAAAGATAGGTAAACATGCAGATGGACTGGTTAACCCATTCAAATACCAAGTCCAATACTTTCCCTTAACAAGAAAAAATTCTGGCATTTAAAATAACAAGGTAGGGCAAACTGAGGCACATTGCAGCTTAACTTGCTCCAACTCTATCATTACAAACTGTAAATCTTTAATAGTACTTCCTATCCAGACACAAAATTTGGTTACAATCCAATAATTTGAAAAGTGCTGTTGCATCCCTAACCTACTAAACTGCTTGCAAATATTAAAACATATAAGGAAAGCTATAAGGGCAGTTAAAAAATATAACAAGGATTTGGTTTATAAACTGTTAATTTCTAGAGATGATAACACAATACAAACATGGAATTCACTATATTCATATTTTTAATGATATGTTTTATAAGTCTAAATTCGTTTTAATATTCCTCTGATATACAAATCTTCTGAAAACTTTAATATTATCAAGGTTTATAACCGACTTAATATTAGAATTGAGACTCTCTTCAGGTATTTTAATATTACAGTAGCTGAGTAGCAATTAACACACAGTACATTGTAATTGTTTTTGTTCTTGAAAATTGCCTTTTCCACGCGCTCTTTCAACCATTAGAAACATAATAGCGTTAAACGGCTAAATTATGCTGGAGGAACCACAAATGTCTCTACATTTAAAGCTTTTTCAAACTGACACAGAGGCCGGAATGGACAAAATTACAATTAATTGTGACATTTTTCTTCGACAACAGCACTCTTCGCGGCTCCTGCCGGCTCTATACTGACCCTGTTTCACACGCAATATTTTCCTTATTCAGTCACTAACACACCTTTTGTATCCCACTATGAAGAACATCAACATTTCCACCAAAACCCTAGCCTGCGAACAGGCTCTCAAGCTGAATTGAGAGCCTGCATCGATGACTAATGAATTTGAATATCTGCCCCGTAACGTTCGTTTTTCCAAATATGGAATGTCTATCCTTATATGGTGTTGTTTACAACTTTTGTGCAAACTAAATTTAGACCGTGCAAACTAAATTTAGACTGTACAGTTTATACTGTTTTTCAAAATATAAGATATTCAAGCAAAAGTTCAAATGTTTTAAATACTGTTTTCTCAAAACAGAACATTTCGTGCTTTGAGATAAGACGGCCAAGACCAATTTGATCAGTTAATGTGTTTTTTATGCATAATGCTTCAGCAGTTGAAATATATAGAGCTCAGCGGAAACATATAAATTATAGCATCTGACCAATGAGAATTTCGCGTCACGATTTGAGACGCAGATATTCAAATTCATTAGTCATCGATGCAGGCTCTCAATTCAGCTTGAGAGCCTGTTCGCAGGCTACCAAAACCCCGAAAAAATCATCATTTTATAGACGAAACAATAAAATATTTCAAACAATTTGTTTTGCTTTTGGCAACGCATGCGCAGTTCGGTCGACATACAGTTTTCTGTATGTCTGAGATGGATTATCCCAACCTCGTCCCCAGGGTCTTCCTCGTGGTGGCGCGTGAGCTGAGGAAGACCCTGGTAAAATACGATGAAATCTCCAAGATTCTTGGAGATTTATCGCATGCGCAGTAACGACAACGTTATGTTGCTGACTACAATTAGCGCTGGCGCTTACGATTTTCTAGCGATTTTCTTGCTTAAAAATACACATGTTTTGTTGATTCTTTATGTATTTATTCTCAAAGTTTTAACAAATTTTAAGAAAAATACTTCAGATATAAGCTGTGAACACACATGTACACAAAACTGTGCAACATTCGTCATCATATTGTATCAATTTGTCGGACTATGGCGCTCATATTTGTGACATTGTTTTGTTCGCTTTGGCAACCCTGCCAACCCTCGTATATATCAGATGCTGTTCGGCCTCAAATGCGACTGAATGAACACTGATAGTGTTGCCTGGAATATGAAATGATATTGACTGATTGTTCCGTATATCAAGGTAGGTACTGTACATTTATACTGAATTTATTCCATTTATTTTCACACGTTGCTTTCACATTTTCCCAGAGTCTCGGAAATCACATTTTCTATTAAACACAGTTTCACACATACAAGACTTCATTTCACACATACAGAAAGACTTTTAATCAAATTATGATAACAGTATGATAATTATGATAACAGTAGAAATTGCTTAGAAAGATTTTATTCTTTTTTCCATATACAGTACAACTGTTATTTTGATTTTCTCTTTCCTATATTTTCTTTAATTAAAGCAGGTACTGTTCTGTTACAAAACAACTAATAAACATTTTATTATTTTAACAGGTGAACCATATTTTACATCAACTTGGGAAAAGCCAACTTGAATTCCATGGAAATATATAATCATGTCATCAATCAGATAGTAAACAATCATTAAAAATTAGATGGCCTCAAGATTATATTTCACATTGACCAACATGAAAATTTTTAAATGGGAATGAGTTGATGGCATTATAGTTTTCTAATGTTCATCAAGGTGAAGAAACTCACTATACCTTTCCCTGGTACAGAGCCATGGTAGTAATCTTAGAATGTTTTCATGATGCCTCTATTCAGTAGTTCTTTAACCAGTTTAGTATTATGACTGTATTATTTTAAATAGCCTTGTTTGACTTTTGTATTTTGTTTCTTTAATAATACAATCATTTACAATGGTGAAAATTACAGTTTAATATTTGTATTTCTAATGATAATTACTTGCACATATCCATCACACTTCTCTGTTACTATATTACTACCATGCAAGTAAAATCTCTTGGGAAAAATAAAATGTTATCCCAGGATGGTCATAAATATCAGCTAATAAACCTAATGAATATACCCATAATCATGTACATATGACTATCATATAATATGTTGTAATTCCTTTGAGTGTTTCAAATCAAATAAATTTTTATTTTCAGTTGTTCATTGTTCAAACTTATTTGAAACCTACAGTATATGTAGTTGCTATCATTCAGATTAATATCCAAAAGTGTGCCTTTTACTTCAGTCCTTATAGACTCCTCCCTAATACAGACACTTTATTGTGCCACTCCAATGTTCATTCAAAGTGATCCAACTGACATCTGAGCTGGTGATAATATACAGCAAAGTATTGGAACTAGGAGTATATCACATAAGTTGTTCATTCAGTCAAGACATCCAGGTTGTGCTGATCATCATATCAAACTCCATCACATATTGTGCCTTAAAAACATATATACAAATTTTAAAAGTTGTTGCAGCACACTGGGAAATTCCATTTAATATAGCCCCCCACACCGTGTTGAGGGGTCTCTTCATAATACTATTATTACCTTAATAAACATTTTGGAACCTCATTGGATGCAATTTTGGAACCCCCATAGATATCTTTCTACCCCTTTAGGATATTGTTCCTGCCCCTTTGGGTATCACTAAAACACGTAATTTTTTGGAAATCTCTTAAGCTACCCTCCAGAAAAATTTAAGGTAAAATCCCCCTCTCTAAAATCCCCATATAGGATATCCAGACCTCAATAGTGGGGCTATTTATAGATGGAATGGCCCATTTGACTTGGTGAGTGGTGACTACCACCAAAGCAAAATGAAAGCATGCTGCCCAGCATTACATACTGTAGAAAACAAATAAATTTTGAAGCATTTATACTGTTACTTGTAAACGATAATCAGAATTGATGAGAAAATTCTTTCTGTCTTTCTGTATGGCTGTATGTTAGTGATGTGATCTCACTGTTCATTATAAGGCTGAAATAGTTTGAAACTCGAGTGAAAATAAATTCAGTATAAATGTACAGTACCTACCTTGATATACGAAACAATCAGTCAATATCATTTCATATTCCAGGCAACACTATCAGTGTTCATTCAGTCGCATTTGAGGCCGAACAGCATCTGATATATACGAGGGTTGGCAGGGTTGCCAAAGCGAACAAAACAATGTCACAAATATGAGCGCCATACTCCGACAAATTGATACAATATGATGGCGAATGTTGCACAGTTTTGTGTACATGTGTGTTCACAGCTTATATCTGAAGTATTTTTCTTAAAATTTGTTAAAACTTTGAGAATAAATACATAAAGAATCAACAAAACATGTGTATTTTTAAGCAAGAAAATCGTAAGCGCCAGCGCTAATTGTAGTCAGCAACATAACGTTGTCGTTACTGCGCATGCGATAAATCTCCAAGAATCTTGGAGATTTCATCGTATTTTACCAGGGTCTTCCTCAGCTCACGCGCCACCATGAGGAAGACCCTGGGGACGAGGTTGGGATTATCCCAGAGCCTTCGTTTCCTTCCCAAGGATCGCAGGCTCGGGGAACGAGATTGGAAGTGAAGCAAAAGCATATATCCGGAAATATTTAAGAGTGGCTCGAGGCATTTGAGAAAGAAGGCATTTTCACTGCGATTTTGGAGTTAAATTTTCTGGCAATCGGTCACTACACGACTATAATTTTGCCAGCAGTGGCCATATAGCACTGAAGCAAAGTAGAAGAATCGCCGTTTATGACTGCCTCGTTGGCCCAAGCTTTCTGGTTTTGACTTGAGAGAATATTTGCAAATCGGGCAAGCACTGATGTCTGGTAGGTTACACTCGAGGTGGAAAGAGTGTCTACAGCCTCGAAAAATGCGAAACAAAGGACTATCACGACTGCATTCGATCACTGATTTTTAGATCAATGCATTCGATTTTATCACATTTGCTGTATCAATGGAAATTGAAGGTATATACCTTATATATTTCACATATAAACATATACATTTCATGCTTATGATTCATATACATTTTACAGGCTGTCAATATATACATTTTACAGGCTGTCAATATACTAAAAGATTCATATTTTTTCGACTTATGGCATTGTCATCATGACAAGGCAATGTTAGTGGTTCTCTCTCATTTCATATATTGGCAAGAGTACCACATGTACCACGTACACACAGTATCAAGCATTATTAGCTTTCAGCAAGCACCCTGTTAAAAATTTCCACCTCTTCTGTGGGCATGGACTAAGGGAGTTGAACTCAACCCGGGAATTGAACTTAACCCGGGAGTTGAACTCAACACGGGGGTTGAACTCAACCCCGGAGTTGAACTTAACCCCGGAGTTGAACTTAACCCCGGAAATGAACTCAACCCTGTTGACCGGGTTGAAATTTCAACAGTCTGTAATAATAATATAAAACTCTATCAAAATCAAATGTGCAACTACATAACAAAATTGTCAAGCCAGGGCCCAGTTCAACCCCGGGTTTCAGTTAGCAGGGACTCAGACTTGGGTTCAAAATGTTGTCATGTAATTGTTTCAACCCAGGGTTGAAATTATTCATGAGTTATTCAAGCATGTGTGGTAGTACTATTTATTACAAGAAAACAACATGGAGGCCAAGGAGCTGCCTTCTTTTACTTCCGGAAATCAATGCCTGGGAATGTACAGCATTTCAACCCCAGGGTTGAAATCGTCCAGTTCAACCCCAGGGTGGCAAGGGCTACGGTACACCCAGGGCTAGGGTGCTGGCAAGGGTGCACCACCCCCCCCCCCACCCCACACACACATCTTGAAATTCTGAAATCCAACAATCTTTGCCACCAAAGTTTATTAGTTTTCTGACACCTGTGGGTGGGGGAATTGATCTTTATTTGACCGGAATATTTACCCCCACCTACAGGAATTTGACTGTTTTTCTTGTCATTTTTCAAATCCCCTACTCTGTCGCGGCCTCCCCCACCACAGGATTTCCATTGATATGTGCAGTACTGTCAGGAGTGCATGGGCAAAACAAGTAGACAAGAAAAGTGGAAACTAGAAAATTTGTTTGGATGCATGGTTGTCACCCAGTGGCGTAGCCAGGGTTTACAAAGTAGGGGGGGGGGGGATGACTTGAGCGGCAAAGGCACGGACACTGTAGGGGGTCAAAATTCAGAGGCTCTGAATTTTGAAATTCAGAGAATCTGAAATGCCATAATTTTTGTACATTTTGGGGCGAGATTTTACAAAATTCAGAAGATTATAACATAATTTGGTAGTCAAGAATACCTGTGTCTTCACTTATTAGATTGTGAATAATAAGCTGGCCATGAAATCAGATAAATGTTACCCCCCCCCCCCAGTTTCTCAATGGATTTAAACATATCTCGAAGTTAGTTCTGAAGGAGAGTGGGGGGGGGGCTCATCCCACCAGTTCCTCCCCCCTGTGGCTATGCCACTGTTGTCACCACCAACCGAGTTGTTCCATTGGGCTTTTCATCAGTGGAACGACTTCCTAATCCAACAAAGTAAGTTCAGTATAATTATACTGCATCACTATCAAGAGTTTAAAATGCTTTAGTATAAATAGTTTTTGATTTCATGGTCATAAAAATATACAGTGGTCTTACTGTTTTCTATACAATTATATAAAACATATGGGAAAAACTGCGTTCAAAAGCAAATAAGTAACCTTCTGTTGACTGACAATCTGGTGCTTGAAAAAATATGAATCTTTTAATATATTGACAGCCTGTAAAATGTATATGAATCATAAGCATGAAATGTATATGTTTATATGTGAAATATATAAGGTATATACCTTCAATTTCCATTGATACAGCAAATGTGATAAAATCGAATGCATTGATCTAAAAATCAGTGATCGAATGCAGTCGTGATAGTCCTTTGTGTCGCATTTTTCGAGGCTGTAGACACTCTTTCCACCTCGAGTGTAACCTACCAGACATCAGTGCTTGCCCGATATTGTTTCGCATCTACGCCAACCGGGGAGACGCTACTTTGTTTGAAGCAAATCACATTGAAATACCCAAATCTGTTTTCTCTTTCTGCACTAATACTTTATTTTGTAAATAGTCAACCGAGGGGCACTTCACTCCAAAAAAGCGTACGGGATTTTCGGATTTTTAAAAATCCGCGGATTTTTTAGCGGATTTAGCGGATTTTTTAGCGGATTTTTGAAGAGAAAATCTGTTGGATTTTCCGGATTTGTTGGGATTTTCCGGATTTATTCGGATTTTTTCTGGATTTTTGAAAATCTGTTGGATTTTCCAGATTTGTTTGGATTTTCCGGATTTGTTCGGATTTTTTCTGGATTTTTTTTTTAAATTATAGAGTTATAGAGCTAGGTAACGTTTTGAACAAATAATCTTAAGTTGTACGACGTCTACAACGTCAACGTTATGCCAGGACGTCATGGTCGAGCGGAGGACTGGGACTAGGACCACAGCCTTCAGAAACTAACGAAGGCTGGGCATGCAGTCATTTTGTTTAAAATTCAAACACGTTCATTATTCTTTCAAAAACAGTAAAAGACAATGATGAATATAAACTTTTTATATAGACAATGGTTTTGTAATTATATTTTACAACATATTAACGTCATTGTAACAAGAACACATACTGTATTTAGTAGTAATAGGCTAAAAAAACTTAGCGTATACTCGAGCGTATATAAATGGAAATGTAGAGTGGTCCAATAATTACGAAATATAATGACAGCGATCACGGTAAGCGTTTAGCTTTTGCTGTCCGCCATTTTGAACGTGGCAAAGAACCTTTACGGGCCCTTTATGAGTAAATTACACCAAGTACTTCATATATATTTTTTGTGGATTTGCGGATTTTTTAAGGATTTTGAAGGATTTCTGTGGATTTTTGAAGGATTTCTGTGGTTTTTAAAGGATTTTTTGGATTTTGGTGGATTCAACGGATTTTGAGGATTTCATGGATTTTTTCTGGATTTTTTCCGGATTTTTTGACGAAGTGTACGGGATTTTTGGAGTGAAATGCCCCTCGTAGTCAACTATATAAATCAAGCAAAATTACAGCTATTACAACAACTCAGATATACTGACAATTGAAGGTTGCAGCAAGACTGACTTACAATTCGTGAGGCATAATCTGAGTATCCTTGCCTTTTCCTAAGTTATTATTTTTAAGTTTTTTGTTCACTGTATTTAACATAACAAGTTCGCTTTTTTAGTTTCTTTCTTTCCAATTCCGCGAAGCTTCCTCGCCGTTTCACTTCCTCCGTCCCACTCCCCTCTCAACACCGGCGATCGCAATATCTTAACACTCTCCCCCAGTGTGGAAATTAAATCTCTAATTGAGCAACGTCTAACACAATATACTGAAAATACTTTAGGAATGCAAAGAATCCATTGTCACTACAATCATTCTGTTCTAGTTATACTAGTCTACATCAAGTTCTTCTCTGGTGGCTATAAGACACAACTTAAAAAGGTATTTTTCTGATATTTGTAGCTCCTGAGCGGTAATAGTCCCTTTTTTCATATTGATCTTTCTTGCATTTTGTGTGAATCGCAATATGTAAGCCAGTGTTCTCCGAACCTTTGAAAATGAAGAACAAGCCGCCATCAAGTGACAAAGAATGGGATTTTCTTTCTTCTCTTCAGTAGCTAAACAGACGTTGACTTCATTAAATTCCTTGTTACAATTGGATGAAAATGATGATTTCTTCTCTTTCATTGTTTCCTGGCATACTGAATTGGATAATCTGAGATCTTCGTGGAACTCTGGCCACTGGGCTTCGGGAAACTTCAGGAATGATGGACCTGCCAACCAATTTGCTAATTCGGCTGGTTCGATTCCCCGTGTGAGACCATCAGCTGGATTGCTCTTCGATCTGACATAGCGGAAGTCCTCTGTGCCAATCGTTTCCTGAATTTCAGCAACTCGGCTCGATACGAAAGGCTTGAATTGACGTGGTGGAGTCCTGACCCATGATAATACAGTTGTTGAGTCGATCCAAAAGATTCTTTTAAAGTCCTTCATATTCACGAACTCTAGGGCTTTCCGACATGTGTCGTACATTCTGGAGAGAGCCAAACAACCCAAAAGTTCCAGTCTTGGAATGCTTTTCTTCTTTAGAAGTGCAACGAATGGCTTCACCATGACAGCGACACAACGATAACTTCCATCATCAAGCTCCCAGCGCAGGAAAATAACTCCACCAAACGCCTGCTCTCCCCCGTCCGAAAATCCGTGCACTTCTGGATTGCCCACTGCGTTACTTGGTTTCAGTTTCCGATCGAACTCAAACGTGAGGAGTTGATTCATTGACTCTACATTCTCGATCCACTTCGTCTGAACGCTTGGCGGAAGGATTTCGTCCCAGGAGAAGCCCGCACTCCAAAGCTCTTGCAGGTCGATCCTAAACTTTATCATAATGGGAGAGACAAGACCGAGTGGATCCCAAAGTTGAGCGAGGAAGGCCAGGCAATTTCTTTTCGAGACTTTGTTTAACTGTCCGATTATTTCCTGTTTCTTGAAGCTAAATCTATCTGCCCGTTTGTCCCACTTGTGACCAAGTAGGTCTGTGAACTGCTCATGATTAGATCGATCGACTACTTCATGGTTAGAGTGCCATGTCTTGATCTGAAATTGTCCTTTACCAAGAACAATGTCGATTTCATCAATGACTCTTTTGGCTTTTTCCGCAGTCGGCTTAGATCCGGCAATATCATCTACGTATGCATGCTTCCGAAGTTCTTTAGATGCGTCTGGGAACTCGGACAATGACGCTTTTGCCAGGGTGTTGATGGAGTTTGCGGCAATGCCAGGGGCTGGTTTGTCGCCAAAGCTTAATCGTAGCCATTGATACACTGTTGGGGTGTCGTTCAGCTTGCTTCTCCATAGGAACCTGTGATAGATTTGATCTTCTGGATGAACCATAATCTGATTGAACATTTTCCGGACATCCCCCGAGTAAGCCACTTCATCCCACCGCCATGCTGTTAGAACGTTCGGCAGTTGATTGATATAGTTGGGACCCTTTTCCAGGCGGTCGTTCAGCGGGAGCCCATCGTGTCCTTTGCATGATGAGTCAAAGACAAGCCGCACTTTGGTTGTCTTCTCTGGGGTGAAGACGGCTTGCAGTGGCAAATACCATTCTGCTTGGGTGTGGTTGACATGTTCGGGAGGAACCTTGATGACAAACGCTTGATCCACTAACTTTTTTACTTCTTCGTCGACAACATCAATGCAACCCTTCTTTTCGAATGACCTTTCGGCTGACTGCATTCTCTTTACAGCGATGTCGTAGTTACTTTGCTTCGGAGGTCCCTTTCCATTCCACGGCATCTTTACCTGAATCCTTCCATCAACCAGAGTCGTTAATTGAAAGACAGACTTCACAAATTTACTTTCTCGCAATTCACTTTCACTACATGTGCAGAAACGTGTAGGTTTGATTCCTATCTGATCTTGTTGAAGAAGTTGATTGACATTCTCCATGACGCTCGCGTGACTGACATCAACTGACTGTATTTTTGCACCATCCGGTATCTTTGGGTCTAGTTGGCCAATAATGTACCATCCAAAGCAGTTTCTCTTGGCAATGGGTTCCCCACATCGACCAGAGATTGTGTGAACATCGACGAAGGCTTCAGCAAGATCAGTCCCGATGAGGAGATCTATAGCTACAGCACCACCGGAAAGATGTAGCTTTTCGGAGATGGACTTCAGGTGGGGGTAACTTTCTAGGCTGTTTTTCGACACTGTCTTAGCGCTGTTACATGGTTTTTTAACCGTATACACTTGGACAGTTTTCTCGATATCTTCCTCGGTACATGAGACTACGGCGATTTCTAGAATTTCAGAATCTTCTGAAAGTTTTTCCCCTCCAGCGAGATTCATGGTGAGGTGAATTTGAGATCCAGTTAATCCCAGTTTCATAGCCGCTTTCTTTGAGAGTAGGCTGGTATTTTATCCAGTGTCTAGCAATGCTAGCATTTCCATGAAATTTCCATCGGCATCCTTCACTTTTACTTTCTGAATGGGGCAGAGACCGATCCCATGCTTGATCCTTTCAATGTTATGGTTCTGAGAGATAGCTCGTTCCTGTACGGAAAATGGTACTGCACTTGGATCCAAAGGTGGGACACTGTTTCTTTCATTGTGCAAAGACTTGTGGTGGTTCTTTTTGCACTTGTCGCAGGAGGTGCCATCTGGCTTCTTACAATCTCTTGTATGGTGCGATGCTCTCAAGCACTTGCGACATCTCTTATTTTGCTGAACAATGTCCCAACGTTGGTTTACCGTTAGCTTCTTGTAAATTGGACAGGCAGCAAGAAGATGTTCTTCTGGGCAATCGAAGGGGCAGGTTGCATCTTCAGGAATTTTAGTAGCTAGGTTACGGGTGTCTACCTTTCTGAAGGGTCCCACACGTCGACTTTGTTCTGCACTCTCGTTATCATATTCAAGCTTGCCCCTGGAACGAAGAGCTGCTTCTTCGTACAGCCATTCGACAAGACCGAGTACACTTTCTTCCTTCTTGTTCCTCTTCATTTCTCTCCCGAACTCAGCGTTATCACTTGGGGTGAGCTTGGACAACAGTTGTGACATGAAGAATGGTGCCTCTGAAGATGTAACCATGCAATCGTTGGCTTCCATGTCATTCACATAGCTCGATATTGTGGTAGCATACCGAATTAATGACTTGGAGTCCCTTTTGACCTGGTCGTGCTTGGAAATTCCTGCCAAGAGTTCATCCATTAGCTTTCGTTTGTCTGAAAATTCAATATCTAAGATTTTCCAAGCTTGGTCGATGGTTTTGCAGGTCTTTACTTGATCTGTCCACCACAAATGGCTTGGCAACGCCTTCCTGAAACGTTGCAATTGTTCATCTTCATCTTGTGCATGCTTTTTCATCCAGTGATTAAACTCCTTCCTCCAGGTAGGGTACATTCTACGGCTGCCATCCCATGATGTAACTGGCAAACGTTCAACTCCACTCTTACTAGGTTTTGATCCCGTGGACATGGTCTCCGTCATTTTTAGAACTGCGGATGTCATTGCCTTTAAGGTTTCTGTCTCTTCTTGAGGTTTCTTGGAGCTTACTTCTTTTTGGTAGGCAGCAAACTTTTTAGATATCTTCAAATATTCTTCCTTTACAGCGTCACCTATTCTTTTGTGAGCTTCCTTCAACGTTTCTTCTACACCCCCCTCTACATATTTGTCTGCGATGAATTCTTGCTGCTCCTTGATACTTCTGTATTTGGTTTCGAGTATTGTAAATATTTGTTCTAGCCTTTTTAATTGTGGCTGAATTTCAAACACCGTCTCAAACTCTTCAAACAATTCTTTTAAAGCATGTATAGCATTGTCTCGCTTCCCTAAGAGCGTTTTGAAGTTTATTTTAGGTGGCATCCTGAGCGATGGTTATTTATTTTTTTTTATGATAGTCTATATCCGGTTTAGCAGTGTCGTGTCCGTATAAAAATGTTCTTTAGCAATGGCGCCCCGAACGCCCGCGTTTTTGCTCAAACTAACGTTAATTCGACGAACAAAATGCTCAGTAATAATAGAAGCTTTGATTTACCTTTCAGTGATATTTGTGATGAACGAATTATCTTCAAGGACGGTCTGTCGCTCGTTTTGGCTATCGGTTGTCCTTGAAACAATCGTTGAATGACTCGTATTATTATAAACTTTAAATATAAATAATCTCTTCCTCAGTCGAATGGCTTGTGATTCCTTCGGTCTGTAGAATTTTGACTGTTTCGCATCTACGCCAACCGGGGAGACGCTACTTTGTTTGAAGCAAATCACATTGAAATAGCCAAATCTGTTTTCTCTTTCTGCACTAATACTTTATTTTGTAAATAGTCAACTATATAAATCAAGCAAAATTACAGCTATTACAACAACTCAGATATACTGATAATTGAAGGTTGCAGCAAGACTGACTTACAATTCGTGAGGCATAATCTGAGTATCCTTGCCTTTTCCTAAGTTATTATTTTTAAGTTTTTTGTTCACTGTATTTAACATAACAAGTTCGCTTTTTTAGTTTCTTTCTTTCCAATTCCGCGAAGCTTCCTCGCCGTTTCATTTCCTCCGTCCCACTCCCCTCTCAACACCGGCGATCGCAATATCTTAACAGCAACTGAAAGCATGTTTTCATTATTTTGTACCCAGAACGTCTGGCGTTTTTCTCCCCTGCCCCTGGCTTCCGGTAGAACTTTTATAGCTGAGTTTGGATATTTAATAAGTGCATGTGTACGTAATGCGGGAAAAACGTGCAGTTTGGTTATGAAATTTTGTATTTTAACTAACATTTGGTTCGGGAACCTTCCTAATTGTCTTTCTTTCAAATTTCACTTTGAAGACATCACAAAATTTATAACAATGGTCAAAAATGGCAATAATAATGGCGAACAAGGCCATTTTCTTAAAAAAGCATGCGGACGGGGATGAGAAACTAATATACAGCAAATAGTGGCCTAAAGACAATTCGTGGTATATTAGCAATCGTATGAATTTAATACAATCGTATGAATTTGATGGGTTTTATTTTTGGGAAGAGCTCTGCTGAAGCCAGTTTGAAGTTGCACTTGTTGCGGCTTGAAATGCAGGCGTTGTATCAAGACGTGAAAATCTGTGATTTGGCGTTGTAAACAAAGCGAGGACAATGTCTAAATTATTCATATATTGCAATTGTTGAATTCTTTTTAATTATTTATTGTATTTGTAGCCGTTGCTGTCCTAAATCGTAAGGTGTCTATTTAAAAATCGGGGAACGATGCAAGGCAAGCAAGGTTAAAAATTTTTCGAGTATGCGGACGTATGCATGCACATGCATGGTTTACGCTACTCATACGTTTCTATCATACGCAATAGTGTGACAAGACCGTAACCGAGATCAGCATGTAATTGCAGTTCTTAAAAAACATGAAAATATTAAACATGTATAAAATATTTGTTTCATTTTATAGTGGCAAAATAAATCTGCACTATGTCTATGATGAGAAAAAAGTGATCCTTCAAGGCATTCGTATAAATTGGCACACATATATCCTTTCCCGGAATTTTTTTATACATTTTTGTTTATATATACCATGTATGTAGTATTTAATGATACACATAAACGTAAAATTTGAAGCATATATAATTGCTGGCATATTTATAACTTACTCTCTATCCAAAAAACAGCCATATTTGAAACAGTAAGCAGTAAAGCAGTTTTGTATGTTTTTAACGCGAAAAATTTAAGTAAATACAAAAAGAAATTATAGCTTATATTTAGAGGAATTAGCGAAAATTGACTATATTCATGACGCGCTTCTCAGGCGAAAAACACACTGCCCAAAGATTTTATTATTTATTCTAGTATATGTGTCACAATGCTCAGTAGCTGCAATAGATTGGATACCTGATACCGTTGCACTTTTGAGAAAAAATAATTTACCGCCAGCATACTAACACGAATATTTAATCAGCTGTCTGAAAGACGTTTTTAAAAATACACAATATTTTGTTTGCTTCAAGTGA